TTAATTTTTTTGTAAAAATTTTTTCTTTAATTGAAATTTTAAAATTTGATAGGTTGTGATTATTAATATTGTTGTTTTTAATGTTTATGTCTGTTTTATCTTTAAGTTTTTGATTAATTAATTTAAGTGTTAAATTTGTAAATAATAATTTGATTTATAGAAAAATATTGTATTTTTTTATACCCTTTATGTTAATTATATTAATTTAATATTTTTATTGTTTTATTTAAGTTGATTATAAAAATATTATATAAAAAATAAGTAGAATAATTTCATTAGTAAAATTTATTATGTTATCTTGATAAGGTAAAGTTCAATTGATGAAATAAAATGTTAAATAGATTTTCTATGTTTGATTACGGTTCAAAATGATAAACATTTTTATTGTGATTAGTTTAAGTGGAATAATTGTTTTTGGTGCAATGGGTTTTATCACAAAATATTATCTTTTTAGTTTAATTAAAAATGTGACTTTGAAGAAGTTAAGATTTAAAAGATAATTAAAGGAAAAAATAATGTTTTAAATTTTGTTAATTCTTTAATTGTTACTTTACCTTCAAGAAAAAGATTAACTATTGGGTGAAATTTTGGTAGAATGCTTGGTATAGTGTTAATGTTTCAGATTTTTACTGGTACGTTTTTAGCATTTTATTATGTGGCTGATGGTTCAATGGCTTTTAGTGCAGTTCAGTATATTATGTATGAGGTTAATTACGGTTGAATTTTTCGAATTTTTCATTTTAACGGGGCTAGTTTGTTTTTTATTTTTTTGTATTTGCATATTTTTAAAGGTTTGTTTATAGTAAGTTATCGATTAAAAAAAGTGTGAGTTTCTGGTTTGACAATTTATTTGTTAATTATAATAGAAGCTTTTATAGGGTATGTGCTGGTGTGGGCACAGATAAGTTTTTGAGCTGCTGTTGTTATTACTAGTTTGTTAAGGGTAATTCCTATTTGAGGCCCTGTTATTGTGATGTGAATTTGAAGAGGGTTTGGTGTTACAAGTGCTACATTAAAATTTTTTTTTGTTTTACATTTTTTGTTACCTTGAGGTCTTTTAGTGTTGGTTTTAGCTCATTTAATGCTGTTACATAGAACAGGAAGAACTTCTATTTTATATTGTCATGGGGATTATGATAAAATTTGTTTTGGTCCCGATTATTGAAATAAAGATTTTTATAACGTAATTTTTTGATTTGTTTTTGTGATTTTTGTTATATTTAAGCCTTTTAGTTTAGGTGATCCAGAAATGTTTATTGAGGCCAACCCTATAATAAGACCGGTGCACATTGTACCAGAGTGATATTTTTTATTTGCTTATGCTATTTTACGTGCTATTCCTAATAAAGTTTTAGGTGTTTTGGCTTTGTTGATAAGAATTGTAAGA